AGGAAAACTGTTCTCCTGTGAGGTCCTTACCAAGCTTGCCACTTTGGACGGACAAATCCATACGTTTTCTGTTCCTTTCACATTCCTCCTCCTCCATATGTTCTCAAGTCTTTCTCCCTCTCTAGAAGCAAAAGCTGCTGTCTTTCAAAGCCTAAGCATTAAGTCTTCACAAGGTCCTGTTGGTCTTACTCTACATTCTAGTATGTTTTAGGAAATATTTCTATGTATTGTTTGTCTTTGATTTGCAGAAACCTAAAATGGATGTTTTTGATTACTTTGTTCAGTTGTCATCTTGATTTGAGGAAAAGATGTGAACCTTCATTCACTGATCATCAAATTCAGAAGTCCATTCCTTCAACCATTCATTTTTACTATTTCTCACTGTACTTTTCTTTACCCTCAATACCTCTATTTCCCATTGTTTGAGGCTACAGGTGGTATATGTCTAGTAACACTGGTATGGTTAGGGGCAGGCTCTGCTTCTTAATATAAACATACACAGTTCAAACTATGTTCCTCATCCATATCAAAAACTTCACTGTATAATTTCATACATCAAGAAATTTGAGCTTTCAAAGAAATGTTGAAATAAAAATAGGACTTCATAGATTGTGAGTTCATTGGTGGTAAAAAAAAATAGCTGAGGACAAAATAAAAAATCCTTTGAATTGTACTTAAAAACAATAATAGCACATTGTCTCTAACTTTAGGAAGTTGTTAACAATAAAAGAGAAACTATTACTTATTTCTGATGTAAATACTCTATCTTTTAAAGTGTCCATTGGGACGTGATTATAAATTCTATGCTCTTATGCTATTTTGGGGGGGAGAACGTATTTGTACATGTGTATGCATATGTGTTTGAGAATGTGGTTTAGAGAGAGATTGAACAGTAGAGTAGTATATTATAAAACAGATCTAGCTGGGCACCAGTGGCTCATGCCTGTAATCCTAGGAGGCTGAGATCTGAGGATCATGGTTCAAAGCTAATCCAAGTCCAATTAATCAACAGAAAAGCCAAAATGGAGCTGTGACTCAGTGGTAGAGCACCAAGCCTTGAGCTAAAAAAAAAGAAAAAAAGAAGATCTAACAACTTTACATTAATCTACTACTTACATGGCAAAAAAGAACTAGCAATTCTTATGGTGAATTTAATAAGGCTTAAGTAGATGAAAGCAGTCTTTGCAAATTTATTAATGTTGTCTTAAATTTGTTTTAAAATTGCTTCCACAAATACTATATCTATGGTTTATAAAAACTTGGTGATGTGTTAGGGTTTTTAGAGGGGTGGGCAGTTCTATGTCCACACGCCCCACACTACCACTCTAATTCTCATTCAAACCCAATGAAAGAAGACTGTGGTGTGTGTGTGCGTGCATGTATTACTAGTCTTCTTACCAGGCCGTGAATATCTTGTCCCACTTAAAATAGGTGTCACATCTACTGCAAAGCCTTCCTATTCAAAGGTTTAGGATTCTCATTTAGAATCTGGTAGAATCCTAAGCTCATCACTTTTTGTGTAACTTAAAAGCTCTGGTGTTTTAAATTCACTTTTGTCTCCCATACTGTGAGCTTTTAAAGTAAAAATTATTTTGTATTCCTCTTTGTATCACGGATTTAAAAGGATAAGTGCCTGCCTGGAATGGATAGTTTCATAAGTGCTTTTTGAAGAAATATGAAGCAAGGTATAGGTGCGTGCTGGCAGCTCTCAGGACAGATTGCTGAGGCTTCTTGAGGTTAGTACTGATCTAGCCTTGTATTCTCGGAATTCAGACCTTATAGATGGTGATGAGAAAGAAAGTCAGTTCTCAATGTAGAGTTGGAGAGAAGGGAAGAATCAAAATGCCTTGGGATAAAAGTATGGATTTTCATTTGGCCAAAGTTTTGAATGGTTGAGACTAGGTGAGGGGAAGGTGAGAGAGGGGTCACTTGAGTACAAGTTGGCAAGAGTATTTGAGTGCCAGGCTGAGAAACAGGAAACTTATGGTAAATTTGGAGCAAGGAACCAAAGTATGCAGATGTGCTTGTAGAAGATGATCAGGTTCTATGTAGATCAGATGAATAGAGGAACAAAGCTCAAGGAATCCTCCACCTAGCTTCTCTATGGCACTTTTATGCTAGGGGCTCATAGTGAGTGGTTTAGGACTCAGGTACTGCTTCTTCCATTCCTTGATTAATGTGCAGCAGGCTGGGGAAGTGGCCTACAGCAGTGCTTTTCCCAGTGTGACTACAGCTCACTGACAGTTCCCAGGATTCATGAGGGCCACCTCGTCATACTATTTCCATAATAATACTGTCACAGTACTTGATATTTTTACCACATATATTGATTGACTTTTATCATCAGCCCTAAAGTCTTAAACTTAACCTAGTACCTAAGTATGAATCAAGGCAGTAGCACTGCACCATGCTGCTGGTGATGTTCTGCCCATCCTTTACCACTGGGAGCACACAGATTGAACAAAAAGATAAAATGTCCTTGAAGAATGTCCTTGAAGCGGGCACCGGTTGTTCATGCCTATAATCCTAGCTACTTAGGAGACTGAGAACTGAGGATTCTGGTTTGAAATCAGCCTGGGTAGAAAATTCCATGAGACCTTCAATAAACTACTCAGAAAAGCTGGAAGTGGTACTGTGGCTCAAATGGTAGAGCACTAGCCTTGAGCACAAAGAGGCTCAGGGACAGTGCCCAGACCGTGAGTGACAAATCACAGAACACCTCTGGTACTTTTAAAATATAAAGGAAAGTTTTATGTGATTGAGCTGTGACATGTAAGAAGCAAGTTTGAGCATTAGTTATATGTGATGCTTATTGTTTTGACTTCATGCCTAGTGTTCATGATGCTATTTTTGAAACTTAGTGGATTTCATATTTGTTTCATCTTGTCTTCATTTTGCTCAATTTGATTATTAGAAACATCATACTTTTTTAGAACATTGCTTCATAGCTTCCCCCTCTTTTTCTTTTTCTTTCTTTCTTTCTTTCTTTCTTTCTTTCTTTCTTTCTTTCTTTCTTTCTTTCTTTTTTTTTTTTTTGCTGTTTTTATATCACTTGGTTCAAATAGAGATTTGTCCTGAAACATCCACAAGAATTTTCTAGGGACTTCATTTCATCTTAATTATAATAATAGGAGCAGCAAGTTCTACTCTGGTATTAAAAGTATGTTGGTTTAATCGGCTCAACAAGCCATCCACCTTGGCATGTACTTCACAGAGAATGGTGAAAACATAAGGTCCTCAAATTGCCAGAGGAATACTTCAAAACAAATTATTGTTGCATACCTAGAATATGTCACACCTGTTTGGTGTTTATAAAAAAGTATTTAGGGGCTGGGAAGGTGGCTCAGTGGTAGAGCGCTTGCCTGCATGGCTGAGGCCCTGAGTTCGATTCCTCAGCACCACATAAGCAAAAAGAAAAAAGCCGGAAGTGGCGCTGTGGCTCAAGTGGTAGAGCGCTAGCCTTGAGCTGAAGAGCTGAGGGACAGCGCCCAGGCCCAGAGTTCAGGCCCCACAACTGGGCCCAAAAAAAAACTATGAACATAGTCATTGTTTTGAGGATTTAGTGGGGGGAAAGTAGATAAACATGCCTCAGATTTTGCAAAAGAGATTAGTGATTAAAAATGTATCCTCATATTCTTTCACTAAGGCTATAAATCTAGTGTTTATGTGTTGATGGTAGATTGACCTTTACTAGCAATTAGACTCTTAACTATGCCTTTACTCAGCACAGGAGGAAGGGTCATCTATAACAGAGTCAACTGGGACAGAAACAAGGAGACCGGAAAGTATAAATTTGTTAAGATTAACAAGAATCTAATTGTTTTTAGGCAAATTGTCACCATTGTGTTCCTCCTGTTCATAAATATCTTCATATACTTTGACAACTGAGTAGTAATAAACTATAATAAAGGGAATGGGAGGTTAAAATGCTGGTTTTCATCCTTAAGAGTATGAGGTAGATCAAAAGATGTGTTGACCTTCAGAACAAGCATAACAGACTTTGTTTTCCAAGTAGAAAGGTCTCAAATACAGTATTCTCACAATAAAAAACTTATTAAAAAAAAAAGAAAGGTCTCAAATGTTTATTAAGGATCTAAGGTACTATTTTCACCTCTCCCTTTTGCCAAAACATGTCCTGTGATCTTCAGCAAGTCAGTATTTTTGTGTCTGTATTACAATTTTGCTCATTTAGTACAAACATTCAAAAAATCTAAATTTTGTTTGTAGAGTATAACATTTCAAATATATATACGGTTTTTCTCTTTGAAGAGACAATTATCATTTTTTCTTACACATACTTTTTTGGGGGAGAGGAGGTCCTGTTCTGGGGTTTGAACAAAGGGGCCTGGGCACTAATTTTTTTTTTATTTTTTTATTTTTTTGCTAAAGTCTAGCATTCTACTACACGAGCCACAGTTCCACGTCGGGCTTTTTTTTGGTAGTTAAGAGATAAGAGGGTTTGGAGTGCTAGTATAATGGTTCACACCTGTAATTCTAGCTACTCTAGAGGCTGAGATCTGAGGATTGTGGTTCAAAGCCAGCCCAGAGGAAAAAGTCCATGAGACTCTTCATCTCCAATAAACCACTGTGATTCAAAGTGGTAGAGCTCTAGCCTTGAGCAAAAGAGCTCAGAGACAGCACTCAGGCCCTGAGTTCAAGCCCCTGGACCAACCAAAAAAAGAGAGAGGGAGGCGGGTTGGAGGCATGACTCAGTTGGTAGAATGCTAGCCAGTGAGTAAATGTGTCAAGTACCAAGTTCAAGTCCTGGTCTCAAACTTTTAAAGCGAGGTGGGGAAGGAGTCTCAGGGACTTTTCTGCCCATGCTGATGCTGTCTTTGAACCACTATCTTCATATCTCAGCCTCCTCAGTAGCTAGGATTACAGGTATGAACCACTGGCACCTGGCACACATACTATGAGAATGATTGTGATAAAGAAAGACCTCAGTTATTTTCTATAATTATGTTTATTTTTTGTTTGACATTGCTTACTTTCTTCAGCAGACAGACGGTGGAGCCCAGACAGATGGCCAGCAGTCACAGACACAAAGTAATGAAAATTCAGAGAGTAAATCTACCCCTAAGCGACTACATGTTTCTAATATTCCTTTTCGCTTCCGGGACCCTGACCTCCGGCAAATGTTTGGGGTAAGTCTCTGAGGTCCTTTTGTGGATTCTAAAATGGAATTTTTTGCACTGTATGTGTATTAATCATTAGTATTTTAGAATTAAACTGCAAAGGAAATGAGTAAGGCCCTGAGGAAAATCAATATTGTTATCAGTCTTAAGAACCGTTTTCTGCCACCCATCTTGCTTTAGATGTTAGCCTTGCAGGTTGTCATAGACACAGGTGGCCATTCCTTGAGAGGTGAGACTTTCAAGATATACTCTGCATATAGCTTCTACCTTTTGCAATTTTGCAAGAGCTATGAACAATCCAACTTAGTAATAAGCACATATCTATGTTACCATTTCTATAGGCTATATATTTCATCATACTTAAACATTTTCTGACATTAACAATGATTCCATTTACTTGCTCCTTTAATATTTCTACAGTAAGAATAATCTTACACCTGCAATGTAAAACAGATAAAGACACAAAACCAAAATAATTCTATTGTTAGGTAGCTAAATAGTAGACTAAGGTTACACAAAGTCTGAGCACACTTTCATGAGAGATCTGTATATGAAGACAGAATTTTTTTTTTGCCAGTCTTGGGGCTTGTATTCAGGGCCTGTGCACTGTCCTTGAGCCTCTTTGTGTTCAAAGCTAGTGCTCTACCACTTGAGCCACAGCACTACTTCTGGCTTTTTCCAAGTAGTTTATTGAGGATAAGAGTCTCACAGACTTTCCTGCCCAGGCTGGCTTTGAACTGCAATCCTCAGATCTCAGTCTCCTGAGTAGCTAGGATTACAGGCATGAGCCATCAGAGCCTAGCTGAGACAAAACTTCTTTAATCATTACTTGAATGGGCAAGTATGTATAGTAAACATCCAGGTATCTTTCTGGATCACACAACCCTTGGAGTACTGAACTTTTACCTATTATCTGTTTCACTTGGATTTCAAACCAGTCTCTACAAAAGTGAGAATATGTATCTTTGGCATTCATTTAGACTTGCCTTACCTAATTATGGTATGATGACATATATATTATAGATAGATAGATGGATAGATAGATAGATAGACAGACAGACATAAATTAGCTAGGCCTGTGGGAAAGCCTGGAAGGCCATGAACCAATGCTGAATTGGTGGGATTGCAGATGATCTTTATTTTCTGTTTTCCTTTTCCCTGTTCATATTTTGTAATTTTTATACAATGAATGTTATTTACTTGTATAATTTTTAATGGGAAGGGGAAGACAGCCTTCAACAGTATATTATTCTACTTTGCTAGGATTTAATTTTAAAATTGAGACATTTAAAAAATTAGACCAGTGATTAGAAAATCACTAGTTCTTATTGACATGAAGCAGCACATAATAGGGAAGTACTGTGAGTTACAGTTACTGTCTCCCAACAGTGGCTCTCACATAGGCATGGATAGTGAGTAAGGGAGGACACTGAAGCAGAGGAAGAGGCGAAAAAACAACCACCGGCTCAGTGATGGGGATAAGCCAGAAACTGACACATAGAAACATAGGTACTAAAGACATACTAGTTTAAAGAAGAAGGAAAGACCCTCCATTTTAGAAAAGAAAGTTTTATGCCAATAAAAAGCTCACCATAAGTAAATGTTTTTATTTTTGTCTCTGCAGCAATTTGGCAAAATCCTAGATGTAGAAATAATCTTTAATGAGCGTGGTTCTAAGGTAAGATCTGTTTCCACATCAAGTTGTATGCTTCATTTCTTTTTGAACTTTGTTTTAAACAGTAGGTGTTCACAAAGCATAGGCAGTTTTTCAAGCCTGTATGCAAGATTATCCCCTGTGTCCACCTTGAGCTAGATTTATCTCTGAAAAGAGGCTGCAACATGGCCGAACTATACCCAAATGTCCAAATTGGGAGGGAAATGAGAAATAGAGAAGTTAGAGGGAAGTGTAGAAGTGTAGAGGACAGGATACAGAACAGTGTGGTCCTTGATTGGACTTAGATTCAGCTGCCTTATTTTAAAGGAAGAAAGGAGCCTAGAAAAGTGAAGCTGTATGTTGTGAATTCTGTCAGAACAATGCAGCTTTATAAAATGCAGCTTTGAAATAGCATACTTAGAGCAAATTTAATGGCTATTTCTTCCAGTTATTCAATTCATTTGCGTTCACTTTGAACTAAATTTTGGCAAGGCTCACGATGAGTAGTGAGTTGGTATTCACTAGTACCATTTCTGCCGTCAGTCACCCCCAGGTGGGTAAGCTCTGGGATATGGAGGCACTCAGTCACACACAGCTAGACTTTACATTAAAATAAAAGTAGTCACAGTGTGCAAGCTGATGTGTGTATTCTTTCCTAAGTATGTTCTACATAAGAACTAACCCTCTTAGTTAAAAATTATTTTTCCTATTAGTGATTTTTAAATTAATTTTTAGTTGGTCATATCTGCTGAACCTGGAAAACAGCTCTTTGCTATGATTAAATCTTCTAAGGATGTAGTTTGAGGAAGAAAGCTAAGTAAACTCTCAATAAATGAGTTATTTTTTACCTCTCTTCAATTTCCTACTCCAAATCCACCACATTGTGGGAATTAATAACATACATGATGGTGTACACCTCCTGTCCCTTCTGTACTAACACAAGTTGAATACATTGTTCTAATGTTTCTGATTGTTATTCCCTTATAGACTGTGTCAACACTAAAAATGTTTAATTCTGGCTAGAACAATTATTTGTTAATTATTAAAGAGGTAATTTTCAGCTCTCAATTAAAAAAAGATTAATATGTCTATACAGAACTTTCTCCAACACTTTACTTGGTAAGTATGTTAAAGTGAAATCTATTTGCTGCAACCAGTAAAAAGTATGGTCATTTATTGTCCCATTTCTGCTTGTTATTTTCTCACAGTGGATTCCTAGTCCTTTGTTTAGTTCAAATTTATTTTTTATGAAGTGGTCAGCTACAAGGTGAGAAAATGATGTGGTTTAGTGAATAGGAGTACATGAATGTGAAACAAATTGATGAAGATTATTGACCACGCTTCACATGTTATAGTAATATGAAATATTTTTGGTTTTGATTGCATACACTTAAATAATCCTAACTAGGTTCTAACTACCAGAACCCCAATACAGTTTCATCAGGCATTGAAGACTTGCTCCTTATCAAGAAAATAATTTCATTGATCTATTGTGAAGCAAAGGAAATTGATCTTAAGGCTTCTTTCATTGACTTTGAGGATTTGTCTGCCTCTAAATCTACCTTATCCAGTTACTTCTCCCATATTTTAAAATAATAACACAAGCCTTCCTTTTCCTTCTGGGGAACCTGAAGGTATATGTGGTGTCCTTACTGCCCCTGGTTTCTTTGGGCTGCAGTAGTATAGATGATGTACTAATTGGCAGTACATGAAAAACAAAGCACAGAATTCACAACTGCCCAGATTGGCCTTTCAGGAATGTGGACCTTGGTTTTGTCCTTCTCCTTCCTCACTGTTATCTAAAGACTAAATCTTTCCCCCGAGTGAATTCTCTGGAAGTGTTTTGAGACCTCTGAGTGAGATTTACTTTGAAGTCAGCCAGACCCAAAGATACCTTCTTTGAGATCCTCCTAAGAGAAATTAATGAATGCTTTTATTTTTGTGACTTAAATTTAATATCTCATTTCTCTTAAATGTTTTAGGTTGACTATAAAATTATAGCATCTCAAACCAGAGAAAAGAAGGCATTATGTGGTCCTGTTGTTTTAGTTAGGTGTTGTTCTGACTTTTAAATAGTGTTTTTCTGTTCCAAAATTAGCTTTATTGATTTTTTTTGAAGCAGATGGAGAAAAACTAGTCAACAAATAAATCTGAGATAAGTAATTAGTACTTAATCGGATTGCTCCAAAACAGAAAGTATTTATTTCTTCACCATAAATTTTTTATGTGTATGGTTCTGAGGACCAAACACAAGATTGTGCGCATGTTAAGTAAGCACTATGCCACTGAGCTATTCCTAGCCCCACATCTTTTGTGTGTGTGTATGTGTGTGTGAGTGTGTGTGTGTGTGTGTGTATGTATGTGTGTTGGTCCTGGGGCCTGAATTCAGGGCCTGGGCACTATACCAGAGCTTTTTGCTCAAGGCCTGCACTGGTTTGAGCCATAGCTCCACCTCTGGCTTTTTGGGAATTAATTGGAGATAAGAGTCACAGACTAAACTGTGATCCTCTTATCTCAGCCTCCTGAGTAGCTAGGATTATAGGCACCCAGCTCTCATCTTTTATGAGGCTGAAGTGAACCGTGTTGCACTGCCACATCCACACACTTTGTCACCAGAATTCCACCTCATCCAGCTCCTGCCTACAGAGTAGAATTACTGTCTTCCACAAAGGACTTAATGTCCTCCTTTTTTTTATTACTGACCTCTTTTATTTGGTCTTCATTTGGTTTTTCCTTACCTAAATTAAGAAATGGAGATAATATATACACACATCATACACATACATTCAAATTACCTCAAACGCAAATACTGTGCTGTGATTTTTTTGCCCATTACCATGACTTTTTATTTCACAAAAGGGGAGTTACTTATTCCTTTCAAAATGTACTCAAAATACTTTCCTTGAAGCTGCACTAAGTAGGTCTTTGTAGTTCTAGTAAAATACATAGGAAATACTGAAATGTTTTTCATTATACTTAAAACTAAATTAGCAATGCATGTATTTCCAAAGGGCTTAGTTTTCTTTTCTTTGGTGTTACCATTTATGGGGTTTTAGTTTTCTTTTATTTATTTTTTAATTCCTGTGTTCTGGCCATACCCAGGAGATCCGTCTGCTTTTGATTTCTCCCTTAAAAGTTACATGGTAAATTTTCTTTCTCATTCTTCTGAGATGGAAAAATTTAAAGATTATACAAGTTTTAAAAACATGTTTAAAATGCTCATCCTATTGCTTGTTACTTATTGCAGCCTGAGGCCAGACTAAAAAGGTACCCGTTACTCGGCTCCTCTGTGTCCTTGATGACAGTGGGGACCCAGACAGGTGGTGAGATCGCTGCCGTCCACCATAGAAGCTTTAACCACAACCTAACAAGCCTTTCCTCACTTCTTAAGAAAGTTAGCAGATAGAGTGGTAATCACGGATGTATCACTGATGTGTTTCAACTATGAGCATAGAATTATTAGCATAGACTTTGAGGACTGCAAACTTTAATAGGAATGTACAGACTTACATTGTCCAGTACAGTGACCAGGGAGTTCAAACTGAGGTGCTTCCTAAGTGAAAGCTGCTCACAAGCCTTCAAAGTCTGTACCATAAAGAATGATATATACCTCATTAGTCAGGTTTTTTATATTGGCACCATATTGAAATAATATATTGTATATATTTGGTTGAATGAATATACTGTTAAAATTAGTTTAACCTATTTCCTTTTACTATTTTAAGTTGCCTATAGAAAATTTTAAATTATATTTGTCAGTGCTGGTACTAACAATTCGTGACATCTTTTTTAATTAAAAATTTTAAACTTTTACCTACTTTTATTAATCAGTTGAGATAAAATTCATCTCTATGTGCCTGAGATATTTCCTCTCCTTAAGCATTTAGGTTAAATCTATATATTACAGACTATAAAATGTGTTTGTTATAGATTTTAACTGTGCAGTGTAGTTATTATGTTTTAGTATTTAATACTATGTGATCACTTTGAACTGAAATGAAATGTGTAGTAATTTCTTATGGTTCTGAATAAGTTGCTACAAATGTGGCAGCTTAAAACCACATGTTAATTATTTTATAGTTCTGGAAATCAGAAATCTGAAATAGGGCATACTAGGCTGAAATCAAGGTGTTGGATTGCTCTTGTAGAGTCTCGAGATAACCTGTTTCGTTGCCATTTTGAGCATGTGGAGACTGCCCACATTCACTGGACTCTAGTCCCCTCTGTTTCTAAGGCCAGCCATGGCCAATCAAGTCTTTCTCAAGCTGCTACGATCAGATTCAGACTCTCCAGCTTCTTCTTTTCACTTACAAATACACTGGGGATTACATTGGACCCACCTGGATTATCCAGGGTAATCTCCCTATCTTGAGATCATTTAATCACATCTGAAAAATGCCTTTTAGTGGGTAAGGTGACATATTCTTTGGTTCCTGGGATTAGGACATGAACAACTGCAGGGGACATAATTCTGCCTACCACAGGACTATTTATCTTCAAAGGAAAGAAAGAAATCCTCTTACCTCTGTGTTTTATGTTAGTGAATCACATAGCATAAAGCAGACCTTTCTTCTGTCACCCTAGGAAAAGATACTTATAAAGATTGTTTTTATGTCTTTAGTATCTTCATTAAAACTTCCTTTGGCATATAAGCATCTTTATTTATAAAACATTTTTTAGGAAGTTGAAATATTATTTTGTTCCAGAATAAAGTCATTACTGAGAAAATCTCCAATAAGCATTACATTAAACTTTGTTACTTGCTGACTAAAACCTGTCAGTGCTGTTATATGCCTGCATTCTTCTGGTATACCTATTGTGTCACTCAGGTTCTATAAATACCTTCCAAAAGGGGAGGCTACTCAAGACATTGTACAATTAGATTTGGAAAGAATGGGGGAAGGACTTTCTGACTAAAGAAGTTTTGTAAATAAAATCTGCAGTCAGGTTGGCAAAGCTTAATTTTTTTTCATCATTATTTATAACCTTGGGTACTTTACTGCATTTGACTCCTTTTATCTACCTCAGAATAAACCCAAAAAATCTGCCCTTGCAACCCCATGGTTGTGATTAGAAACAGAAGTATATATGGTTTGCAAGTAGACATGTAGACATCTGTAGCCAGACAGTGTTAAAATGAAAGTCTCCACATCCACGTAAGTTATTAGTAACTCACCTGATTTATAACTTACTAACCCAAATCAACACATTTATTACTATAAGAATCAATTGGAATGTGGTTTATATAGTGCTTTTTAAAAGGCTTAACTACCACACTGGAGGGTTCTCTAGGGTTAGAAAACTGGTTTCTTGTCTTCAGCAGATGTAAATGTAAATAACAAGTAGTGTCCTTAATTATTTATTTGCCCTTGTGTACTCTGAGGTATCAAATTGGCTGTAACATTTTAATATCAAAATGTATTTCCCAAAATATGTCCTGTTGACATTTTCAAGAAATGTATACCATTCTTTAGGAAACTATTAGCTAAAATTACCATAGTATTCCACAATAAACATTATGCATGTAAGTTTTTTTGTCACCTCAGTGTTTGCATTCTAGGGTTTTTGTAATGATGCACATTGTATAGAGTGCTGAGTAATCCGTTATTACATAATGGTGGAGTGCTCCTATCAAATGTTGAGCAACAATTGAGATGGTAAATAGTATCATCTCAGTGGTCACTCATGTTGTTAAGCAACAAGACCAAACCTCAGTTAAAGGGTTTTAGCCAGGTTCTGGTGGCTCACACCTGTAATCCTAGCTACTCAGGAGGCTGAGATCTGAGGATCACAGTTCGAAGCCAGCCTGGACAAGAAAGTCTGTGAAGACTCTAATCTCCAATAAACTACTCAGAAAAAGTCAGAAATGGCACTGTGACTTAAGTGGTAGAGTGCTAGCATTGAGCACAAAGAGCTCAGAGACAGTACCTGAGTTCAAGCCCCAGGACTGGAAAGTATACAAACAAACAAACAAACAAACAAATGGTTTTAAGTTATCATACAGTAGAAAAGTTTAAAAAAAAAAAAAAAAACCCCTGCTAGCCAGGAAGGGACAATGAAGCTGTTAGGAGATGACTTTCCAGAAAATCCCATGTATTTGCTACTCTGCAAATGTAAACAGCTTGGGAATTTCTTATAAACCTGTAGTTGTTGAAGATGAAGAATGAAGTTTTATGAGATCCTGCTCATGTTAAAGGAGGTAAGGTAATGATGTGAACAGGGGAGCAGGTTAACTCCCTGATCTCCTCATTTGTCTACATAATGAGCTCCATTCTATTTGGGTAGTGGCTACTAAACAAATGAAATGGAAAAATGAAATGAATCCCAACTCAATATAGCAGCTCTATTATTTCTGGTATTTTTTATTGGTTCATGTATGGCTAGTGTCACTAATGTAGATCTCATTCCCATTGCATTTTTCTCCTTACGTGGAAAATCACTAATAATAATAATAATAATCCAGATTAGAATGTTTGTAAATTTGTGTTAGCAGTTTTCTGAAATTCAATATTAACATATTCTTGCTCTAATGTGCAAATCTGACCATTTAAAATTATCATTGAAGAGAAATTATGTCAGGCACCAGTGGCTTACACTTATAAACCCGGCTACCCAGAAGGATGAGATCTAAGGATTGCCATTTTGAAGCCAGCTCAGACAGGAAAGTCCATGAGACTCTTATCTCTAGTTAACCACCAAAAGAAGTGGAGCTGTGACTCAAGTGGTAGTAGAGTGCCAGACTTGATCAAAAAAAGCTCAGGGACAATGTCCTGGCCCTGACTTCAAGCCCAAGGACTGGCACCAAACAAAGAAAAGAAAAGAAAAATTAGAATATAATATCTTCACTGCTTCCATACCTGCTAACTACAGAATTATACATCAAGACTCTCTAGCTACTCAGGAGACAGTATAATCTACCCAGGCAGAAAAGTTCATAAGACTCTTACCTCTAATTAACCAACGAAGAAAAAAGAGAAAGAAAGCTGAAAATGGAGGTGTGGCTTAAGTGGTAGAATACCAACAAAAATACTAAGGGGTACAGCTCTCAGGCCCTAAATTCAAGCCCCAGTACCAACACACACACACACACTCTCTCTCTCTCTCTTTCTCATAAATTATTACTATTATAACAGGCAAATTAGTAAGGATAAAATAATGGAACATCCTTTAAAAATCTCACTGTACAAATGATTAATGTTAAATGTTAGATTTTTTTTGTAGAAGTCAGTGAACAGTAACAGGCTTGCAGTATTGGTGAGTTTAATACATTTAGTATTACACTGGAGATGTTAACTAACATTGTGAACTGGGAAAGATAGGATATTGAAAAATGTAGATTCTTGGTTGAATAGTTTGATCCGAGTAACTTAATGCCTTAGTTTTGGTCTGGCCTCACATGCTTTATATTTTATTTTATTTTATTGTTATTATTGTTAGTTAAATTACTGTTATCATTACAGTTCTTTATTCTGTTACTGAGTTTAATTTCCCTTTACAAAATATGCATGAACCAAAACTGTGACTTTGAGAGTATTGCTGAGTTGTTGCTGATGTCACTTTCATACTGTAATGTTTCTCTATATACCAGAGATCAGTATTTCAATATAACGATGTGCATGTTTTCCCCCCCTTCTCCCGCTGCATGCAGGGATTCGGGTTCGTAACTTTCGAGAATAGTGCTGATGCAGACAGGGCCAGGGAGAAATTACACGGCACCGTGGTAGAGGGCCGTAAAATCGAGGTGCATGTCTTCAATAATTCAATTTCTGGTTTCTATTTTTATTTCTCTTTGTATTACCTCACTTATTTCACTTTTGGACCCTGTCTTGTTTGTGTGTGCGCACATGTGTGTGTTTGCATCTCTCTGTTCTTCACCTTCTTGCAATCAACTATGTAAAAGCAACTGCTTCTCTCCACCCCACCCCCCCTGTTTTTGGTTGTTTGAGATTTTAGTAGAGAGAGAGAGAGAGAGAGGGAGAGAGAGAGTGTGGTGTGTGTGTGTGTGTGTGTGTGTGTGTGTGTGTGTGTGTGTGTGTGTTTTCCATTTACAATTTCCTCCCTTCCAAAATGTTCATCCTTCTGCTTCCTTGATTTTTTTCCTTTGCTTCAGTTTGCAAGACTCTGAATTCTTATAATTAGACCTAAAAGAAAAAAAAAAACAGAAAAGAAAGCTAACTTTTAAAATGTCTTGGAACTATCTTGCTTCTAACATTGTGTTCTGTAGTGAATCAGGTGGCCAGCCAATACCCTCTTTCTCTTGGGAGGCCAGTTCGCCTCCATGTGTATGTGGAATAGATGACAGCATGGAATAGATGATTGTAAAGGTTGTGGGGAGGGAAGATAAACCAAAACTCAGGAAGATTTTATATTTACCACAAGAATTTTAGCAGTTAATATCCTCAATGAAGAGGGTTTGATGGCCGCCTGGCTAGTGTGCTGTGGTTGCTCGTGTGAACCCCTGGGGTTCACCAGCCCTTTATATCAATGCACTGAAGGTTAACTGGCTCCTTTCCCCATTTCCAGTTTTTAAAGGTATTAAACATAAAAGCCACCATTTGAGTAAGATGTTTGCATATTTTGCTTTTTTCCCCCTTTCCAATGGTTTAGCATTTAGGGCCCTTCACTTGACTCACTCTTTCCATGGTAACTATACACAAAGCTGGCGATGGTGCCCATTGGCGGTAAGTGAAACCAAAGCACTAGAGAAGAAGCTTTTTAAAATGTAATTACAAAACAATTAAGAAAGAAAAAGTCCATCTGCCATCTCACATTAACACTACAAAATGTGATTTGACTTGTTGTTCTTCTTCCTTTTCCTTCCCCCTCCTTTTTATTTTCAATGCTATTAAGTAATGCCGCCTGGACTTTGGATGTACATATTGTTTTGTAGCAGTCTGAGCTGTTTGATTACTGACTTCATGGTGATTTTTATCCCCTTGCACATCTTACTCAGAGTTACTGAACTCCAGTTTGGCTGGTTTTATTAATGCACTTCCTGCCCCTATTTCCTTCCCACTTTCCCTTTTTCCCAAACCACTGTTTGTAGATTTTCTTTACCCTGATAGTTCTTTTCCTGCTTGGAACACCCTTCCTCACATTTTCTTATTTTTCCCTAGCCCATTATTCTTTTTGCTCAAACTCTTGCTCTTGCCCTTTTCCCTATTCTAGCTTCCCTTCCCTTCTGTTTCACTCCGCTATTGGTCTCTCGCTGACTGATGATTTCTGATTGGTTCTGGCTATTTTTCCTTTTAATTGCTTGGTTGCATTCTGCTCTAGCAATTGGTTCAAGCTCTTGCTCTATTCTAATCTCGCTATTTCCTTTCTCCCTTCTTTCCAAAACTGATTGTTTTTCCTTTCTTCTGTTGTGTGTGTGTGTGTATGTGTGTGTGTGTGTGAACTGCATGCCATCTCAGTCTCATCACTGCTGTCTCCCATTCATTCTTTGTAAATGTGAAATGTTTATATTTTTGGAGGTCAAACTAGAGCAAATGGAGTTTCAAACTGTCCTCACATGGGAAGGGTGATCACTGTACAAATTTTAAATAACACATGAAGATTTTTTAAATTCTATTTCTGTCTGAAATTGGCCTTCATAACAAAAATCTGGCACAATGTATATTACACAACGCAAAGTAACTCTTTTTAAAGTACACATTTCTTATGACCTGTCAATACAGTATATAGTTAAGTCTATGATGAGGCTTTCCTCTCCTGGCCAGAGCTTTTACCCAATGGCAGCCTGAAGTGTTCTGGCTTCAAAGTTCCCTTATCTTCATTCATAGCTGCTATGTTTTTAAGACTGTTCATCCTGCTTTAGAGAAAGCAAATATGTACTTTGCGATGAAGATGGAGTGAACCATAAAACAAAATAGTTATCTTATAGTTCACATATTTTTTAAGTGCCTACTCAAAAGTCCTTCTGAAGATTTATAACTCTTAAATGAATAAGCCACATAGGCTAGAAAATTTAGAATAGCCCTAAGTACTGTTGATATATGGGAATGAAGTTCCTACATTTTCTAATCTCATTAAAGTTTAAAGAAATGTCTACAATGCAGAACATAGGACAGGTGAAATTTACTTCATTATTTTTCTTTAAACCTACTTTATAACCCAGGTGGCAAGCCTGTTTTACTAATGAACTTAAAATTTCATTTGCAAATATAGTTGTTTCCTCTTTATTTTGTTTCTGTATTTTCCTTAACACAGAGACTCCTGTAAAAAGATGTATTTTTTCCTTTGGAATATTGAGTGATAAAATAGTCATAGCTTTCCACTTGGAAACCAAGAAACTTCATTTTACTCTTGTTAGCCTCATTTAACAAGCACTTAAATTTTTACATAAACATTTTGTATTGCTATATTATCTAAATCAATGCTACCAGCAACTTACGTTTTAAATTAAGTACTGTGTTACTAAATGAGCAAATTCATATTTGCTAATGTAATCTTTTTCCTCCCTGTCCCTTTTTCTGCATGTTATTTTTAGGTTAATAATGCTACAGCACGTGTAATGACCAATAAGAAGATGGTCACACCATATGCAAATGGTAAGAAATTACAAATCATCTTCAGAGGATATCACTTATATTCATATAAACATAGGAATTTTTCATATATTTCATAGAATCTGGAATGTTCCCTTTACCTATAAACTTTTTCTTTAAAATTTTAAGCCAATCTTTTTAGTTACTGAAGTGTTTTCTTCTTGGTAACTTGTACTTTCTACATGGCACAAGCATCCCATTCAAGGTTGCTTATTAAACCAAATTAGGAGTGGGGCTGTGGCTCAAAGTGTTAGAGCACTAACCTTGAGCACAAAAGCTCAGGGACAGTGCCCAGGCCCTGAGTTCAAGCCCCATGACCGACAAAAAAAAAATGTTTGGGGCTGGGAAGGTGGCTCAGTAGTAGAGTACTTGCCTTGTAAGCATGAGGCCCTGGGTTCGATTCCTCAGCACCACATAAGCAAAAAGAAAAAAGCTGGAAGTGGCGCTGTGGCTCAAGTGGTAGCGCGCTAGCCTTGAACTGAAGAGCTGAGGGACAGCACCCAAGCCCAGAGTTCAGGCCCCACAACTGGACCCAAAAAAAAAAAAATTAGGTGCCCTGGAGTACCTTCTTTTTCAGCTGGTGGAGCTCCTTTGTAACATGTTGCCAATTGTTCCTAAAACCCCTGAAAGGCCACTAAGTCTGCTTTTGCTATTGATCCCTCCTCAAATGAGCACAAGTGGAAAACATTAGAAGGATCTCTTGCTTTTCCTTAAGGCCTAAGAGTAACAGCTACAGGTAGTATACAGTGTTCCATTCTATGATTGTAAGTTATAGAGTAAGATGTATAAATGGTTTTCATTGAGAAGGGAAATTTCTAGAAATAATTTCCTCTAACATAAGTAGAATTACTGATCATCTGTCAAATGTAATTTGAATTTATGTTCTTCTCTAAATGAGACAGAAATGTAACTTTAACCTATATAGTACACAGTAGTTTTGCAAATTGGGGATGAAAAAAATTAGAAACCAAAGAAGCCAAGAGCTGAGATCTTCAGCCCACTGTCCCCTCCTTTACCTTCATCCTTCCATCCATCCATCCTCCCTTTGTTTTACTGGGAATTGAGCCTAGAGCCCCTAAACACTCTATCTCATGCTAAGTCACTCTGTCTGCAAATGTCTGAACCTACTGGTCTACAGTGTGGTCTTGTGTGCTAGTAAAATCTTAAATCAGGTAAAGAGGTATTAGTATTCAGTCTTTACTACTTTATTAAGTAGGAATGTGGTGTGCATGTGGGAGAGAGAGAGAGAGAAAGAGAGAGAGAGATGAGGGGGAGAGAGAGAAGAGAGAGGAGAGAGAAAACACACACTAGTACTGCAACTTAAACTCAGGCCTGGCCACTGTCCCTTAGCTTTTTGTTGGTTTGTTTGTTGTCAGTCCTGTGGCTTGAACTCAGGGCCTGGGCACTGTCCCTGAGCGTCTTTTGCTAAAGGCTAACACTCTACCACTTGAGCCATAGCACCACTTCTGTCTTTTTCTGTTGATGTGGTACTAAGGAATCGAACCCAGAGCTTCATGCATGCAAGGCAAGGACTGTACCACTAAGCCACATACCCAGCCTTGTCTCTTAGTTTCCACCCAAGGTGGACTCTCTACCACTTGAGCCACACTTCCACTTCCAACTTTTTGCTGGCTAATTAGAGATAAGAGTCTCATGGACTTTTCTGCCTAGTCTGGCTTTGAAAGGCAAGCCTCCTGATAGTTAGAATTAGAAGCATGAACCACTGTTGCCTAACTACTAGCTTTTTAGACTGATGATAAAAATTTATCAGCATATTATCAATGGTATAATCCTGGTAATCACTGCCTCCCTCACGTTTCTCATTTTTACTGCTATTAACAAAAGTTTCTTGCGGGGTTTTTATTTTTATAGTAAGTTCTTTTTTTTAACTATATACATATTTCATAGTTTTGATAAAAACACAATATAAGCTAGATAGTATGGCTTACTCTTGTAGTTCTAGCTACTTGAGAGGCTAAGAGTGGGAGAATGATGGTTCAAGGCCAGCCTGTGCAAAAAGCTTGAGAGACTCCACCTCAATCAATAAAAACATGGGGGCATAGTGGCCCATGCCTACCATCCCAGCTATAAGTGGAAGCATAAATAGAATTGTGGTCCAGGCTAGCTCAGGCAAAAAAAAAAAAAAAAATGAGACCTTGTTCAAAAAGTCAACCAAAGCCAAAGAGACATGGCTTGAGTAGTAGAGTGCCTTAATACTTTCCTTAATGTATAAATACCTTAATACATTCCTTAATTCCATCCCTCTTTGTCTCTGTCTCTGTTTCTGTCTCTCTCTCTCTTTCTCTGTCTGTCTGTCTGAATTTCTGTCACACACACACACACTGTCTGAATTTCTGTCACACACACACACACACACACACATACACACGACAAATTTCCTTTGGATCCAGAAGAAGCCCTTGATTACTTTTCAGAAGGCAGAAATTTTCTCTGGATTTAATTTATATCTGGCTCTATGACTGTACCAATTTCTTTATTTGTCTGATTCTATTTGCTTAACTATAAATTAGCAACTGCAGAATTTTAGCACCAGAATTCTTTTTAGTAACCTTTAAAACCCAAACCTCTCACCTTATTACTGAGCAAATGAGACCCAGAGAACTGTAGTATTTACTGAAAGCTGCAAATATAGTACTTCTCACCCTGTTTGCGTATTGTGAAAGTCAGTGGCATCTGGGATAATCCATTATAAATTGTACAGAACTAAACACATGCAAGGTGTTATTAACATTTTATTGTAAGAATTTAGAGGGAGCCTGGTGCCAGCGACTCACACCTGTAACCCAGCTACTCAGGAGGCTGAGATCTAAGGATCACAGTTCAAAGCCAGCCTGGCAGAAAAGTCCCTGTGAGACCAATTAGCCACTCAAAAACTGGAAGTGGAGCTGTGGCTCAAGTGGTAGAGCACTAGCATTGAACACGGAGAGGCTCAGGGACAATGCCTAGGCTCCATAACTGACTCCTCCCCCCCCCAAAAAAAAAAGAATTTAAAGGGAATGCTTAGGATGTAATAGTACCATTGATGAGGCAGGAAGACCATTTTGAGTTTTCTCTACATTAATACTCAAGCCTGATAGTCAAGAAAACAAGAACTGCTGCATCTGCTCCATTAATGGCTGAAGAAAAGATTTTGTATGCTGTGAGCTTTCTGGTGAATTCTTAACCAGTGTTCTCATATTGTTGGAATCACTTGTTACCTGTGTAACTTAGATATTTGACTTGCAAAACAGCCATGCTTTTGCAATTCAAATATGATTTGAACCCAGATTTTGTCAAAATTTCATGTAAAATAAGTACATAGCAAGCAAATTCATGTGAAAGAAGGGAGATTGAAATAGCATACCTCTAATACTAGTACTTGGGAGGCTAAGTCAGGAAGATTCGAAGTTTGGGCCAGCCTGTGCAGTAGTAGAGCCTGTCCAAAAAATTAGTTAAATAAAATCTGGGAGGGCTGGGAAGGTGGCTCAGTGGTAGAGCACTTGCCTTGCATGCTCAAGGCCCTGGGTTCGATTCCTCAGCAGCACATAAGCAAAAGGAAAAATGCCGGAAGTGGCACTGTGGCTCAAGTGGTAGAGCGCTAGCCTTGAGCTGAAGAGCTGAGGGACAATGCCCAGGCCCAGAGTTCAGGCCCCACTACTGGACCCAAAAAAATAAAAATTAAAAAAAAATAAAAAATAAAATCTGGGAATTTTAATAAAGTTAGCTTTTTCTTTTTTCCACTCATATTTTCAGAATAGCAAAGTCTAGAAGCAAATTTTTGACATCAGCCCTTTACCTAATTTAAATTGTTTAATTTAAATGTCCATTATTTAAAAAAAAAAAAACCTCAGGCGACAATATTTCACCTCTAGACCTCTTCTCTTTTTTTTGGTCGGTCATGGAGCTTGAACTCTGAGCTTGGGCGCTATCCCTCAGCTCTTCAGCTCAAGGCAAATGCTCTACCGCTTGAGCCACAGCGCCACTTCCAATATTTCACCTCTATAATCTTAACTTCTCAAGAGGCTGAGATCTGAGGATCCAGGTTTGGCAGCCAAATCTAAGAAACTGATCTCCAGTTAAGCAGCAAAAATCCAAAGGTAGCAATAAGGCTCAACCAACCTTAAAGGAAAAAGCAGAGGCCCTAAATTCAAGCCCCAGTATTGGTATGCATGTGCACATGCACACACACATATTACTTAAGAACCACACACTGAAGTTGAGGATATGCCTTGAATTATATCTTCCCTTTTTTACACAGTGAACCCCAGTGAAGTACCATGGGAAGGGATTTTCACTTTACTCAGAAAACTTGCCATGGTATAATTGAACCTGGAGCCAAAGGTCCAGATCAAATTTTAATTCAGTCAAAGGATACTTTTATGAAACAACAGCAGTAGTAAGCAATAATAAAATGATGTGTAAGAACTTGAAGTGTCATGTGGTACCTACTAGATGACACATTCTGCCTTCTTTTCTGTTCAAAACTCAGAGTAGTCATTTGGGTAGGGCCATAAGAGAACCTCCACAAAGCCCTAGGGTTTATTTCTGTTGCTTCCTCCTCTCATTCACTCTCCATCTTCCTCCTTCCTTCCCATTCTCTTCCTTTTTTTTTTCACATGTACCCATGCCTACCTCATTATCCCTCCAACTATGCTTAGGTGATTGCCCTCTCATGTCTTACCTCAAGCTGGCATTCTAAAGGAGTTGACAGCCCAGATGTGTGAAGCCTTCTTCATGTGCACTGATCACTTTTCTTCTGTAGTCTTTCAAGTTCACTGCCTTCTTTTCTGTTCTAGGTTGGAAATTAAGTCCAGTAGTTGGAGCTGTATATGGCCCTGAGTTATATGCAGGTAGTATTTACATTTTCCATTTGTGCTGTTTAACTATAACAGCATCTGTGGATTTTCATTTGGCTATTCCTTGATCATCTTTCTGAATTTTTAAATCTTTTTTAATGTCCCCAGCATCCAGCTTTCAAGCAGATGTGTCTCTTGGCAATGAAGCGGCTGTGCCCCTATCAGGAAGAGGGGGTATCAACACCTACATTCCTTTAATCAGTAAGTAGCCTATGTTGACCTGGCATGGGTTTTAACTCTTGTGTCTAAAAACAGTGTTATGCTAAGATTGGCTGGGGTTTTTCTGTGTGTGTGTGTGTGTGTGTGTGTGTGTGTGTGTGTGTGTGTGTGTGTGTGTGTGTGTTTCATGTGTTCCTGTTCATGTTCCTGGGGCTTGAACTTGGGGCCTGGATACTGTCCCTGAACTTCTTTTTACTCAAGGCTAATGCTCTACCTCTTGAACCATAACTCCATTTCCAGCTTTTTGATAGTTAGTTGGAGATAAGATCTCACAGACTTTCCTGCCTGGGATAAGTTCAAACCTTGATCCACAGATCTCAACCTCCTGAGTAGCTAGAATTACAAAGATTACAAGTGTGTGAGCCATGGGCACCCAGCCTACAGATATATTCTTTTTCTTATCTTTTTTTTTTTTTTTTTCGGTCATGGGGCTTGAACTCTGGGCCTGGGTTCTGTCCCTCAGCTCTTCAGCTCAAGGCAAGCGCTCTACCACTTGAGCTACAGTGCCACTTCCGGTTTTCTAGTGGTTTATTGGAGATAGAAGTCTCACGGTCTTTCCTGCCCGGGCTGGCTTTGAACCGAGATCCTCGGATCTCAGCCTCCTGAATAGCTAGGATTACAGGCATGAGCCACCGGCGCCTGGCCAAGATATACTCTTGAGAGGAGTGATAAATACTCCTTTGGGATCTTCCTAACCAAATATTAAGATTGGCACAAAACAAAAATAGTTGGAAAAGGAAAAGTGTGGCCTGACTCCAGTGGTAATGAGTTCAAGCCCAAGAACCAGCACAAAAAGAAGGAAAAAAGAGTATGAAGAATATTCTTGTACTTGCTAATAAGGAAATTAAAAGACATGAGCCTGTGAAAAGTGTATTACTTATTTCCTCCCAGGGGCGTATCCCATCAAAGCACCACCACCCATTTTCTTGATTTTTTTGCAGCTCTCTTACTGTCTCTAAGGTCACTTTGACCTGAACCTTTTTACTACAGAAGAAGGTATACCTAAACAAGCCAGTGGATGTGGAATCAATGTCTCTGAGGGCTTTCTAAAACAAGGCACCCTTTGAAATAGGCTCTTAGAAAATGTCCACCTCTTAAAGGACACAAGTTATTAGGAAGGAATGCTTTACCTCTCAACTTAGATTTCAGATTTAAATATTTTAGAAAAGGGATGGCATTAACAAATGAATGGAATGTCTAAACCCTATTATGCACCTTGGAAATTGGCACACCTTGTAAAATACAAGAAGAGCATTATTTTAAGGAATAATTATATTCATATAATAATGTTTGGAAGCAAGATTAATAATTGGCTAGTGAAAGAGCTTATATCTATTTGAGTTGAACTGTCACAGAAATTAAAAACCTTAGATCTTACCATGGCAGTCGTTTCAGAGCTTCTTACTCATTTCTTATCAACTTACATTGAAATGGCAAAATTGGGAAGGAAACAGTAAACTCATTGAAGATTTGTGATGAATGAGGCATGAAATGGGTCACTTGCTCATGTTGGATCTCTTTCCATTTCTTTATGACTCTGAGGCCCAGATTAGGAAGTGTGTTGGATAATATGTATGCTGTATATTTAGGAAAGATTTCCATCTTTTCCATAATTATTTCATAAGCTGTGAGTGTATACCTGCTGTAGAATATAGATTGAAATTTCTGTCATATTTTGGGTCTCCCTTTAGTTCCTGGCTTCCCTTACCCAACTGCAGCCACCACGGCAGCCGCTTTCAGAGGAGCCCATCTGAGGGGCAGAGGGCGGACAGTATATGGTGCAGTCCGAGCGGTACCTCCAACAGCCATCCCCGCCTATCCAGGGTAAGTGTTAGATGCCAAAATCACTGTGTTTCTACAGTAAGCAACTGGACTAAAACAGAATGCCATGGTCTTTTCATAACTTCTGGGACATTGCCGTGCCACAAAGATGAATAATGAATATTTTCAAATTCATGGAATAGATGGCAAGAAAGAACTAAAATACACCATCATCAGAATGTAACCAAATGTCAATTCATTACCTAAACCTTTGTTTGGCTACCTTAAACGTTCATGGTGAGCGCTTAAGACAGTAGCCAGACCGTCCTGTGTTTACTAGCAGTGTGTTGGCATGGTTCACTCAGCAGTGCACGGATGTGGATTAACACTACTGCAGAGAACCAAGAAAGGAGCTGGAGATTGTAGTACCAGACTGTATCTGCTGTGTTCCCCCTCCCACCACCCTGTGCTGGGGCAGAGGCTGGCATATGTGCCTTCCCATGTATTCACTGCCTGGGTGGTGAGCAGCAGAGCCAGTTACCCACAATGGATTTGCTTTCTTTGTAGGAAACAGGTTAAAAGAGGTTAATTCAAAGATGAACCAAGTCCAATTGAATCAAGGGAGTAAAGGAGAAGTAGGAGGAATTAAGCTGCAGTTGATGACTGAGTCTGGTAAACAGCTGATACAGCTGAGCATCCTTCACCTTTTGATTTTGTGTGGAGGATGTCTCATGCAGTGGAATGATTCCATAGCAACAAATAAATCCTTTGTTATCAAATGGGGAGAAGGAGGGAAGATGGCAGATTTGTTTTTAGTTGTTTCTCCAGGTCACTCTAAAATGTGTATTTTTATAAAAAGTAGACTTTTATAAGTTAGTTATACCAAGGTCTTTTTCTCTTCAAAGATGTGACATTTCTCTTCTTCATCTTTTCTCTGCCTATGACAGATTTCGTTTTGTTTTCCTATATTCTTTTGGAGCAATATAAATAGTGGCAGAAAAGCTTATTAGCTGCTACTTAGTCAAATTATAAAGGGAAACAGCCTCTTTCATAAGTCCTTTTGTGACAACAAAATTGGCTTCACCCAGAGGTGTACTAATTTACCATTCATTCATTCATAGACCAAACGGACATACGATTAGGAGTCCTCCATGCCACAGAATAAAAGCATTTTTTTAGACAAGGCAAGTATGCATGCTGAAGTGGGCAGACTCAAATAGACCCTGGAAGGGAACTGCTTCAGAAAATAACTTTCATTTGCAATATATAGATATTTAAATTCCATGCATTCCATCATCTCCATCTTCTACCATGACTTACTTTTTAATTTTATCTTTTTTCTCTCAACTTGACCTTTGACCTTCAACCTCTGACATCTCTTTAAAGAAGTGAACAAAGGCACAGTGTTTTACCAAGAAATATTTGAGTATGATACAAAAATGAACCTTCTGAAAGTTCTACATGTTAGAAAAACTGCTCAGAAAGCATCTTCCATTTCAATCTAAGAGTGTTTACTGTCACATTTGCAGAGAGACTGCTCAGAGACACATGTTATTTTGAACCTTCATTAGTTACTTCATAAAGTGGTTGAATTCATTCCTGTTTGGCATAGGTCATTTTAGTATATTGGCCAAATTTGAGTCAATTCTCTACCAATGTCAGATATGGTATTTAATCACATCAATTTCTTTGCTTTACATTGAACACTAATTTCTCATATTTTCTTTTTTAAAACTAAACCACCTGTTTACACGGAAGATGGCAAGGAATAAGTCCAGTATTTTATGGGGAATGGCCTAAAATTGCTTTCAGCCTAGTAAACTAACCCCATCATTATTGTATTCTAGTCTCCTTACAGCATTTAATATAGAGAATATTGGAATTCTTCTAGCATTTAGGTGAATATTCCCATTAAGTGACTTGACTCAAGGCAAAATTGAATTCGTTCTTGATGCGAGCACCTCTCTATAGAAGATTTTTTTTAATCTCTGCATATTTCCTCTTACTGAAACTGCCAAGGATTAATTTGTTACCACCTGGTCTCAGTGCCTTCCATTTTATCAGCCTTCTCATTATACATGTCTTTTTTATTAGCACAGTGGAAGGCAGATTACTTTCTAATATCAGACTATAACTGATAAGACTTAGCTAACAAACATCAAAGACAAGTTTGATTTGTCTGTTATATAGTACAAAGGCATAGCATATTTGAGATACTGCAAGGTGTGACAGTACTAACCTATAAATATAGCAAAGGCCATTGAAAATAAAAGTGAGACACTTTAGCTACCTGAAACAAGTTATGTTGTATTCAAGTTAAATATATGATTTGGTGACCTTACTTGGTAGTTTTTTTTGTATATAAGAGAAAAAGTAGTGGTGAAACTTTTACCTTGTTTCATTGAATAAAAAATAAACACATCAGCTAATATAATACAGCCAAATCTTTACCTAATAAACATGAAGAAGAAAGTTTTTATCCTTTAGCTGTACTACTGTTTCATTCTTTTGGTCTCAAAAATAAGACTTTGGGGGAAATCTGTATATACAAAAATAGCTTAAAAGGTTGGGAATCTATATTTTAAAACTAACAGTGTATAGTGTTTCTGGATTTAAGGAGAAGAAAAGACAAGGTATTGACTGATACAAATTCATAGTCTAAGCAGGAAGTAAACACTTGTATTTCTAAATAGCTGCCTTCTCAGTTTTACTCTTTTAAATAATATGGGATGATCCTTGATCATGCCCAGAGCTTCAGCTATTAGTTGTGAGAATTCCACAAATACTCTCATTTCAAAAAAGAACCCTTAAAATCTTCCAATACTCCTTCCCACTCTGGATTATATTGTTACTATCTGGGATCCCCACTGCACCTTTCAATTCTTGGACCTTGGACCAATCACCTTAACCTTTAGCTCATTATCTCTGCTTGTGAAAGCAATGCATTGTGGGTATTTTTGGTTGTTTTGGTTTTTTGTTTTGTTTTGTTTAATTACATTTCTCTGTTTACTTTGGTCAGAATTGATTGACTTGTTTTCCCCAGGTGTTGCATTGGTTCTTAAAAATGCTGAATAATAATACTTTGCATGCTTGTGTGATCAGCCAAATCTTATCGCATGTCTAATGTGCAGGGTAAAAAGCAGGTGATGTATGGATATCAGAAAAATATTGCACTTCACCATGAGATGGAAAACAAAATACTAAACATAATTTTGAAACACTCTTTACATATAGACCCTGCCCTAAAAGAATTTCTTTTGGGTGCAGGAAGCAGGGGATGGGGGAGATTCTTTTTTTTTTTTTTTTCATGTTAAACCCCTCTCCACCTCTACCCTTCGTAAGCTCTTTAAAGAAAAAACTTCCTCCTAGGGAAAACTTAACTTTAAAAATATTCCAGATAAAAATGTTGATCTTAATAAACCAGTAGGTTTTGGATAACTGTAGGCCCTCCTAGGAGTGCTGTTGATTATTTTAGTCTTTCTAAAGTTTCTAGACAGCCAGGTGGTTGGTCCTGTTTTGCACACCCTTAGCTCTTCTAGCATGTCCTGGAGCTCTGTAACACACGTGTGCACTCACACATTTGCTCACCGACTTGCCATGGCCCCACGCCCAGGTTCCGTATTCATACATCACCTGCCTGTGTAGAGCGCATGTGCATGCTGCCGTCCTCAATAACCGGAATGTGTTTCTGTTCTTTTGTTTTTTGTTTTTGTTTTTGTGTGGATTTTCTGCAGTGTGGTTTACCAGGACGGATTTTACGGTGCTGACCTCTATGTAAGTACACACGCCGGGGCCTTCTCGACCCCATCCCCTGACAAGCCAGCCTTTTTTTTCTGTTTCTTTGGTTTTTTTGTTTGTTTGTTTTTTAAATATAATTTATTTGATTTTTATTTCCTTTTTCCTTGTGGATATATATATATATTCATATATTTAAGAATGCAAGCATGCTTCTCTGCCACTGCGCTTGCCCCTGGGTGCAAAAACTAAGCCTTTGGGTTTCCTGATCATTGCGAGGGTCAGTCTACTGGACATATTCTTTTCCCTTCCCTGTGCCCACGATATATTGTATATCTATCTTTGAGATGATCAGCAGGTTTAAAGTCTTCTGTTACTGATGTATCATTTGCATACATAAATAACAGGACTAGCTTAGCCTTGGTGTACGAGTTCTACCGTTTCTGCTTCTGTTCTCATTTCATATCCCTGTTTAGATCATTAGACCTTTTATTTACATAGATAGCAATAAACTTTGTGAAGGTGTGCTTTCTGATTTTTACCTACTAATAGAGAAGATAGGCTATGAAAGAAACACAGAAACTAATGCTAGTGGAGATTTGTGTAGTAATGAGAGGACACTAGTCTGTATTTAAAACCTTTCTATACTCAAAGGTCCCAGAGCCCACGAGTCTCTTTCCTCAGGAGCTGGCAGGGAGAAACAAGCAGTGTAACAACACAGAGTTGCAGTCATTCAATTATCCTACAGGATTTGTTGATTCCACCAGCCACAGTCACCCGTAACCCATTATTCATTCATCTGCTATAGCTAAAATCCATTATTGATTTGTTACATACTACTTAAAAGGAATCAAACTGCAAAGAGGAACAGCTTTTTAAGTTTTGAAATCTTTTATTAGGACCTCTCCAAATGGCCATTTTCTGAATGTAAATATAGTCTAGTCCCAAAATCATTAAGAATTCTATAAGAAAAATTAGTCCTTACAAATTATTCTGTGGGGATAGATTATCATTGCCTAGAAATGTTTTCTCTACCTTTAGCCTCCCAGTATCTATGAGAGGACCTTTTGATGAGCCAGAATGTACTCAGAGGTTTTCAGGTAATGCTGTCCTTGTAGGTCCACATGACTCTGCACCTGTGCTATGTATAAAGCCTTCAAAGTATGCCTTAACAACTACTTACAATTTGGTCCAATACTCTAACTTGATAGACATGCTTCCTAGATTGTAACTTCCCAGAATTATTCATACACCTAATGCATATTTCATTATCTCTCTTTGTATGTTAATTGAAACCCACATCTTTCCTCAGAATGTTTTCGGCAAGTAATGATACCTTTTTTCCCCTCAGGTTCACATTTAAATTTGAGGATTGGAGAAATTTGTTTTACTCTTGACACCAAATTGCACATTTTTTAAATACACATTTTTATTTATGATATTGGCATGTACATTCTACCATATGTATTATTCTCCATATTCTCACAAATTTCATCTTTATGCTATTTGTTTTCTTGAAATCTGGTATGGTAGAGTGGGCTTTTCCATTTGAATTATCTGTAAAATTGTTTGTTTTTTTTTCTCTAGTGTCTTATTTGGGCATTTTTCCTAGTTTTGTCTTGATAAATACCACTTATTTTCACCTTGCTAAGTCAACCAACTGAGTATTTGTTATGGCTCTTTCATTTCCCTGTTTTACAACATAAAATTTTATTGAGGTTATTTTTCTGAACCTGTCAAGAAAATACTCTTGATTTATTTTAATTTACTAACCTTATGGAACCAAACAAGTAATTCAGTAATCTGGTCAAAAAACATTTTGGTCTCTTATTGATTAAAGTACTTAGTGGCAATGTTATTACTAAGCCCCCTACTGAAAAATCAAGCATTCATTGAGGCAGCTGTTGAGTTAAGCCTACTCTAACTGTAGCTGTTACACCAGCTAGTCCATATGGGAGAGAGCAAAGGATGCTTCTTAAAAACTCACAGTAGTTTTGTCTTGAATTTGTCTACTTCTCTCTGTTCCTTTCTCCATCTGTAAAAAGCTATCAATATATGCTTAGTTCTTTCTTCCTTAGAAATACATATTAAGACAGAATGAGTGAAGTCTTTATCTCATATAAAAAGTACACTGAGAGCAGAGCTTGAAGAGAAGACACAAGACAGAAGAGTTAAGTGCTGGTTTTGTTTACATTAAATTGTTAATTGTGGAGGATTTCTGATGGTCCCTTTTCCTGTTCTACTCTTAAGCATTAACTTCTGATAGCCACTTTTCTTTCTTTCTGTTTCTTTAATAGCACTGTCCTCTGTGAAGATTTGATATAGCACTTGTGTCCATAGAGTAATATAAAGACCTGCCAGGATAGGGCTGGGGTACGTGGCTCACAGATCATGTGTCTACTATTTCTTCCTTTCTCTTTTGCCCAGTAGAAAAGGCATAGTTCACCCTAATTTACCTTCTAAGTGGGGCAACAAACTGCTCCAAATTTTCATCCTGTGAAAAGCATGCTTGCATCCAAAGGAAAGAAAAGGCTGGTGGGCCCCATAGTGGGCTTTTTGTATGATTGTTTTCCTTCCACAGCTGTGTTTTTTGAACTGCTCTTCCTGTGTTCTGTTATAGAATAGTCTTACAGGAACCAATCATTAGCGCTAAAATACCTCAGGTAGGAGTGCCAGTGTGACCTGCCAATCAATCAGATTGTGGATTGCAGTGAAAAAATTGAATTATACTAACCATTCCAGCTCCACGTTAGAGATGGGAACAGAGGCTTTTTTGGACAATCAAGACTTGTGAGCGTGTGATCTAAGCCCTGCTACCTCAGCAGTGCACACTGTCACATCCCACACATTAAGAGCACTTTCTCCAAATTAAGTGCTCCTGTCCCACTGCCACATATCTGCACCAGACGTGTCACATGCACTGTCCCATCACTGCTGCCTCTCGTAATTTGTTAACCACATTTGCCTATGGCATTTAAACTGGTCTTTCATATTGAAGATTTTAGCAGAAAGGGATATTTGTAACTACTGTGAAAGAAATGTGAAAAAGAAGAAAGTAGAATTCCACCCAAATAGGACTTAAAATTTTGAGTCCCACCAGGTGCCAGTGACTCACCTCTGGTGGCCGAGATCTGAGAATTACAGTTCAAAGTCAACCTGGACGGAAAATCTATGAGATTCTTATCTCCAATTAGCCACCAAAACATTGGAAGTAAAGCTGTGGCTCCAGTAGTAGCACTAGACTTAAGCAAAAAGCTCAGAGATAGCACCCAGGCCCTGAATTCAAGCCCTAGGACCAGCTCGTGCGTGCACACGTGTGCCCGTGCACTCAAACACACACACACACACACACACACACAAATATAAATAAAATAAAAAATTGAGTCCCTCAAGAGGCCCTACAATGAAATACTAGTAGTAATTGGACTATACTATGCTAGGTAAATTTGAAGTTAAAAAATCTAAATATGAGCCGGGTGCTGGTGGCTCACACCTGTAATCCTAGCTACTCAGGAGGCTGAGATCTGAGGATCGCGGTTCAAAGCCAGCCCGGGCAGGAGAGAGTGTGAGACTCCTATCTCTCCAACGAGTCCACCAGAAAACTGGAAGTGGTGCTGTGGCTCAAGTGGTAGAGCGCTCGCCTTGAGCTGAAGAGCTGAGGGACAGCGCCCAGGCCCAGAGTTCAAGCCCCGCAGCCGACCAAAAAAAAAAAAAAAAAAAAATCTAAATATGCTGGGACTCAAAAAACTAAAGGAGTATTTTTCTCACCCTCTCTTCCTCTCACCTGAGTAGATCAGTGAATGTCTTTGGATAATGAATGATACACTCTCTGTAAGGAGGTGCGCTGATAGATGGGTGTGAGATGGGAAAGCCAACAACTTCTTACTCTAATTACTTTATGTGGCTACCCAGTTCAATTTTGAAATTGAACTAATTTGGAGAGATGTAGACTAGTAAGTATGTGAAAAGTTTGATTCATTAAAAATCATATCCATTACAGAAGTGATGTCAAGGATAAAATTCAAATACTACTTTACCAAGTAGATAGATCTCTCAGTCAAAAAATTAGTAATGATAAGTTTTTGTGTTCCTATCTGTTACTTACATTTACTCAAAGATGGCCACATTACCATATAAGAACTCAGTGATGTCTTCCAGAATGGTAGTTCTCAGCTGGAGTGGAGAGGCAATTAGGGAAAAGAGAGAGCAAATGAGGTGATTCCAAAAGGCTTAGTATTAAACCCTTACTAATTAGAATAGATCTCTGCTCTGATGATTTTAGTCAGTACACCTACTCATCTCCCCTACCTAAACACACACACACACACACACACACTCACCTTGCTCTGTTGATCTATGCACTACATGGAGATAACAAGCCTTCATTTTTGTCTTCTGGTCTTGAAATATACACTCTCCTCCTCAGTGTCACATGTCATTGTCTTTCAGGTAGAAAGAAGGTGTCTTGACATCACATGCTCACCAAAGTCCTGTTTTAATGTAAACCTAAAGCAAAAATATAATGAAATTAAAGGCAAGGGTAAAATTAAGATGAGATAAAGGTCTATCAGTGTAAGGTTAATAAAACCAGTGTGAGTTAAACCTAATAAATAGGCAGATAAAGCTCAGATACAGGAGGAACGACATTTAGAACTCTTCTATTTTGTTCTAGTTTAAAACACAGCCATAGACTGTGGAAAAATACTGTAGCTGGCTATGGCAACAGTATAAGGTTAACAGACGGTTAAGTTGATTCAGTACAGAGTAAGAATCCCGAGGAGATGACACTAGGCATGGGAAAGAAGCTTTCCTTTAACAGCTTCAGAAGTCCTTGCAGAAAAGGATCTCAAAGCAACAGCATTAAACTAGAAAGACAGATGTGTTCAGAGTAGTTGAAAAATAAATTTTTCAAATGCAGGAAAGATTTAAGAACATTGTAAATCAGAATATGCAGTTGTTGCCAAAAGATGAACAGACAAATGAGTACTGTGGGTCAGGCAGGTTGAATAGGAAGTGATGCAGCATTGGACTGCTCCAGT